ACAGACTCTGATGTGTGCAGAGGGTCAGTAGCTCAGCCCGTCCTGTCACCTCAGGCTCATCCCGCAACAATTACATACAAATCTTAGCAGGGATCTTCAGTGAGTGTTGCCCAGTAACCCGGGCAACCAGATACCAATCTCTTTCAACTATTACTTGCGGTCTTGTTGCTCCTTTTGGCAACCACTTTTCCCGTGCTTCTAAAAAAAAATTTGCCCTCGTTGTAAGAATCTTTTGCCAAACTGAGTAAGAAAAAGCTTTGATTTATCGCTTCTCAGACAAAACTACTGTTGGTTTACGAGTTTGGTTCAATCTGAACCTGTGAGAATCAAAACAGACAATTATTTTACATTGTTGAATTTTACAGTACTGAATAAAGGAGTCAGGACAAGTCGACTTAAAATAAAAATGTGTGTGTATGTGTGTGTGTGTGTGTGTGTGTGTGTGTGTGAGTGTGTGTGTGTGTGTGTGTGTGTGTGTGTATGTCTGCAAGCTTGCATGTGGCAGAGTTGATTCAGTTCCTCCCTGATACGCACTAACCTGGCAGGCTTTCCAGGCCTCGGGCAGAGATCCATTAAAAAAAACCTTTTGCCCTCGTCACTCTCAGTCTTGATTTATAATATGTGATAGAATAATCGCAGACTGATGTATTTCTTTCATCTCCTACTAAACCAGTCTGCTCCATTCTGATAATGTTGCATGTAGCGTTTCAGCCAATAGCTCTTCAGAAGCCTCCTGACCTGAGCGGCTGGTAATTGAGTGGTGGAGCTTGATGAGAGGTGCAAGCTCTTTTTGCTTCCCCCCTCTAACACACACTGACATAACTGCCTGGGCCTGGTTCCCTGCTGGCAGCAGATGAACTAGAAAACTCTCTTGCTGATTATTGGCAGATGAAAAAAGAAGATCTGCAGGGCTAAGCGAAGGGAAAAAAAATATTATTGACTTCTCACCGCAGCTACTATTTATTTTCCCCTTTTTCTGTCCATGTATTTGTTTTTGAGGCTGTTAGATTCTTGCCTTGGAATATTTTTGGGGTAGTCTTTGATTGAGCTGGAAAGGAATGCCTTTAATCGTGGCTACAAAGAAACCGAGGGACATGTCCCCGTCCGTTTTGCAACAGATCTAGACAGATGAGGAGGAGGAGGCGGAACGGAGGAGTGAGCATTGTTAACAGTCTGTGGGGAACTGTTTGCGTGCCCTGTGGTTTCTAGTCCCTGTGAAATGGAGACTCAGTGATTTGGTTTCCCAGGCCCCTTTTTCTCAGGGCCATACAAAAACCAAATGAAGACGTTTCAGTCTGTCCTGGTTGCCATTTATAGTCCAGCGGCAGCGTGTTCCTAAGTGGTAGATGGCACCAATGGTGGCACATGGAGAGTGTTCACAGCCATCTGAATGTAAGTGGTGTGGGCATATCTAAAATAGAAGATAATGCTTAGTCTTGTCAACGATGCAAAACATAGACGCCGTGACCATGGAGGTGGTTGCCCTCAGAGCCTCAGAGAGACAGAGGAAGCTAAAAGCAGCCGCTCCTCCTGAGCCTCCTGGCTCAGCTTTGGGATTATTATCTGCTTTATTAGATATGATTGCACAGTCCCATGCATCGACATGTTTAATATCACAGCAAGATCCAAACACAATCAGGTCGGCCTAAAGACTTAAACACACATCATCATTTCACTGTAGAACCTGATTCTTCTGACTGAACGTCGCTCTTTCGACACATTTCCCACAAACCGATAGCAAAAAAGAGCAGAGGTCATGGCATCTATGAAATAGTGTCATTAAAGGATTTTTTTTTTTTTTTTTTCTTTGTTAAAGCCAAGTTCAACTGTAGGCCTCTAATTTGTGCCTAGTAAATGCTGACTGGAAGAGGCAGCTGGCAGCGCAGCATGCAGCCCAGGCCAGGGGTTCATGTTGTCCTGCTGCCGTTCAGCAGACACGCCAGAGCCTAGAAACACTCAGGGCACCTCCACCTTCAGCTGGAGTGAGGTGGTTCGGATACGTTTCCAAGGTTTCACCCGCTGAGGTCATGTGACCCTGTCCTTAATACTCCATAGCAATGGTTCCCGGGGGGTTTTGTCAATCGTGAGCTTATGCACACCTCCTTCGACGCCACCTGTCATGTTCCAAATGTGTTCATGTCCATGGACTTCAGAGCTGACATCCAGTGAAACTACATGAAAGCCGATATTCTAATATTTGTTCTTACAACTGAATTGCACATGTTGACAGATGTTTGTTGTAGTTTTATTATTTCAGCTGTTTCATCCATTACTTTTAGTGAACTATCTTGACTTCCCCCCTTTGAGTGCTAACTAGTACTACCTAGCTTTAAGGTGGTACAGTGCAGTCAGTGCAGCCGATAGTTTAATGGTTATTATGACAGTAAAAGGTTTCTCTATGAGATTCATCATTGCTCTTGTTTTTATTACGTGTAGTATGTGAATTTCCTGCAACACACAGTCGCTCTGCACCAGGTGCTCCACTCCCACTGACCACGCACCTCTAGTTAGCTTTTATCTCCCTCCCCACCACACTCCCCCAAGTCTCTCCTCTCTCCTCTCCTCTCCTCTCTCTCCGTCTGACAGACATGCACCAGCCCTTTGCAGCACATTACGTCAATTCCCCAGGACCGGGGTGCCAGCTGTTGATGTCACCCTTGGGTCTTTTTAATTTAGGGATTTCCGCTGGGTGAGATGAGGGGGAGCCCCATGAACTCAGCCCACAGCCACATGAAGAGGCCCACCGGGGCAGAACCAGGCCAGGACGGGCCTGTGCAGGGCAGGGCAGGGTGGGACCGCTCTGCTGGCGTGTGGGTGAGCACAGAGACTGGGTGCTGCAGGGTAATCTCCGAGCTGAAACAAGGACTGATTTAGGAGCACTGTAGTGGTGGGTGCTCTCACTGATGTTATGTGAGCAAATCAGTGATGCACAGGGGTGTATTAGGAGTGGTGTGCTCCCTCCTTGACTGCCGTGCAACCCCTCGTACCCGTGACAGCTTGTCTGTAACTTGGAAACACCGCTGCTATCCCTTGAGCTCTTAAATGCAGCCTTTCAGCAGCTACGAATTTCCTCCCTTTCAGAGGGGATCAAATGTTCCAACAAAGACTATCTCTCATTCTTTCAGTCCTCAAGGCTTTGAGTGGGAGTGAACATCGCCATCCATGTAATTGATTTTGTTGGGTGCCAAAGTTTTTCCTCTTGATTTTAACTGGGAAGGAAACGCCTTAATTTAACACATAAAAGCTTCATTCAAGTCAACTGTTGTTCTCTAATGGTGTGAAAACCAACTTTGGATTCTCTGTCTAGACTGTCGTTTAAGAGGTTGTCTCGAACATTGTTTTGGTTCTTGGGTTCAGTCTTTTTTTTGGCAGTTGTCTTTGGTACATATGGATACATGTATGGGATATACTGTAAGACTTGAAAAGGTGTCAGTGATATCTGCCTCATATGTGTCACTGGTTTGCAGCTGTGGTTTGTTTTTAACGCACCTCTATCTCTCTTCACCAGAGGCGGATATCATTATTCTTTTCTACATTAATTGTTTTAAAAATCTTTTCTTCCTTTAAGTTTTACTATTGCTACATAGCTAACGTTAGCATTAACAGCTGTTTACTTACCAGCATTTACTTGTCAGCATCAAACTTCATTCCTTTACTTGCCAAGAGTTTTCAGTGGTGGAAAGCAACCCCAATGTTAACTCCATTGACTGTAAATAAAGATGGACGCAGCCTTTGTGACGTCACCCACAGGTTTCTGAAGAACGGTTCTGAAGCTCAGAGTGAGCTGCTCAACCATCACCATCTTGGCAGTGTCTGACTCCACCCCTAACTCCCAAAAAAGGGGCAAAGAGGAGGGGCATGTGTGAAGCCGAGACTTCAGTGCATGCAGGGTTGTTGCAAGCATGAACTCACCCACCTGTCACTCAAAGAGGCCATGCCCTCAATCCTCCGTAATTTTAGTCCTTAATAAAATGTAAACAGGTGAGTTATATAAACAGGTGTCATGAAGGAGGAAATTAGCTCTAGAGACCAAAACATTTTTTGTACCAAGCTGTAAACATGGTTGTTTCGGCTGTAAAGTTGGACATTTTAACATGGGAGTCTATGGGGACTGACTCACTGTTGGAGCCAGACTCTAGTGGTCATTAGAGGTACTGCAGCATTCGGCACTTCAGTGCCTCTATCATCTATTCTTCTACTGAAGTTAGCATGCTACATTTCCGATAGCGACTCACTGTAGCCTCTATTCTGCCCTGAAGATGTAGTGCTGCTCAGAGGACGTATTATAACCTCAGGTCTTTAAACGGAATGATGGCTGAAGCTTTCGTCAAGTGGCAATCACCACAAACCGCTCCAACAAGAAACCACAAAGAAAACTTACAAAAACTCCCTTTAACTAGTCTAATCAAAAATCAAAACCTAAATAAACAATATTGAATAAAGACTTTAGCAAGTCTCCACCAAAGCCCATTCAAGCATGTCACCCTCTGCACTGATTCTTTAGGATCCATCACTGTGGTCAGCTGGTTTGGTTTTTTACCATTTAACAACAAAGTTTAATGTAACTTTTCATAATGTTTTGTGAAAGTCATTGTCACTGTAAAAAATCATCAATATTTTAAAATGATACATGAATCAGACACATATGTTTGTTTTCTTCTGAAGACAGTATTTTCAGACCAGTTCATAATTTCAAAGAACAACAAAGTGATGCGTCTGTGATGAGGTGAAGGAGCTGTGGATGCGCTGATGAACGCTGCAAACCTACAACTCAGCGCAGTGGGCATTGCAAAAAGAGAACAAAAAAAAATTGTGTTCCTCTCAATCTCCACACCAGAAAAACGATCCCAGCGGAAACATCTGTGTTGTTTTAAATTTCTGTTATTTGCCTATTTTCCTCTCGTAACCTTTTTCTCTCTCTGTCACTTTCTTCGCAGTATCACCCTTTGTCTCTGTGCAACACGAGCGAGGATGAACGACAAGAGAGTGACTTCATCACCATTGTCAAACTGGAGCACAGGGTCCCCCGCTGTCTGCCGCTGCTGGACAAGGTACGCCCAGACATGGCCTCGACTGCTTCATGCATTTCTGCTGGTTAAACTCTCTGAGAAACTCCCCTCTCTGTGACCCCTTCCCCTCTCAGACATGGCAGCAGACAGATAAACCATCTTGCCATCTTGTCTCCTCTCCAGTGCCCCTTCCGCTCTCGGATTAAGACTTTAAAGAGAAGATGGTTTTAGAGGGAATCATTTGGCAGGAGGTTAATGTTTTGTTCAGGACGGGGATCTTTCAGAGTGAGGGCTTGGACAGGAGGGGACGGGCTTAGCTCAGCGCTGCTATGTAGCAAGTGGCAGTGAGCCCTGGCTTTGGATGTAAGGCTTTCAAGTCCCAGCTGTCACTGGTCCGATCCCAGCCAGCCAGTCAGCCAGCCAGCCAGAACCAGACACTTGGTGTTCTCCATTTCTGCTTCCCTTTAATATGAACGCAGCCAGAGCTCCATAGATTCCACCCACAATGGTTTAGATGTATGTGTAACTGCAACGGACTTGACCTAAATCTCCCTTATGTTTAAGTATTCTACCATACACACAGGCTGGCATATCCTAACTTTAAAGTAGTGTGATTTAAAACTGTTGCTATTTTTTCCTCGTTTTTCAAGTGGTGACAAATTAGCAGGCAGGAGTATAGTTAGGCGACTGCCTTTTTTTAGCCTGTGTTTTCTTTTCCCCTAATTTAAAGCCATGTTTAGGAGCTGCCCACCGTGGCGACGATGTAGAGACATTCCCACACTTCCCTGCTCCTTTCTTCCTCCTCCTGTTGCTCCTTCAGTGGGAACCAAAACGGGGGAAGAGGGGTGTCACTCAAGGCTGACTCTAGAAAACAGTTTTGATTAAAGCCTTAATGGCAACACTGTGTTGTCCCATAAACAAAAAACGGTCTCTCCCTCATGCAAAAGTACCCATTAACAAAAGGCTGTTGCTTCCGAGTGCTTTCTCCCTCCCTGCAGATCGCCTTTGAAATCAGGAGAAGTGAAGGAGGGAGGAAGGATGGGAGGGGAAGGGGGTCCTTCTTGTTGTTTTGGTCGTCTGGAAACTATGTGATGCAATAAACGCCACTCCAGCCACCTGCATCCTCGCTTCCTTAGTGAGATTCAAAGCTTTTGGTTGTGGTGGATTTATTGGGGATTCATCATGCAGCTGTTGAGGAGTCTGCTCCGGGGCCTTTTGAAGAGGATGAATCAGACGGTTTGGGATGTGCGGTGCTGGGTCAGCCGTGCTCTCTGAATGGGACTTGTTTACAGTTTAGTCTGACTGTAGACCGCCCCACTGATCTATAGATACTCCGATGGCCGCAGAGGGTTCATGTTGCACCACATACACTCAGAATAGACTGTAAACCAAACAAAGCAAAGCTCAGAACCTTGAAGGATTAGGTTTCATTGTTGTCCTTTGTTTTTATTTTGTTTTGTTTTTTTAGAGGTTCCTACCCCCGGCATCGCAGGGAGATTCCTTTGCTGATTTGCAGCAGTTTGGCCCGTCTCTCTAATGCTCCTTGTTTTACTGGACAGGTCTCACAGTATCTCTGCACAGGCTGTGAAGTTGAAGTTAGAGTTGATGCTTTAGGATGTGTGTGCTGTGTAGTTCAGGACATCTTCAAATTAATAGAGAAACATGAGCTTTCTCCAAATACCTTCAAATTGAATTTGTGCATTAAGCCTTTAACCATCGCCCCCTCCTGGTCCGTTCTGCCCCTCTGGCCACCTCTCACCCACTTCCACACACTTGTATGAGAGGAGCAGTTTTCTCTTGAAGAAGCACTGGCACCGCGGTGAAACTTTGAAGCTGAATTGAATTATAGGAGTTATGATATTAAACATTATGAAGGTTTGGTTTCGCCTTAACCCTCCTTAAATTCATTCATTTTTAGTTTCAGATATTTGAAAGTTTGTGAACGATAATTTCATATGTGCATCTTTACTACAAAGGCACTGTGTCTCTTTTAGGAGAATATTAAATAAAAAATAGGGCCTTATTTATTTGTTCAATTATTTATTGTATTATGTATTGTATGTATAAAAAATAAACACCTGCAGTGGCTGCTTCCATTCAGACATAGAGCCCAACAACCTCCATCAATAAGGTGTTGTAGCCTGCGAATAAGATGCACCACGATGTTAAACTTATCTAAATTATTCATTAATTCGCCGTGCTGCTCCCCCTGTTGGGGGAGGAGCCAGTCCCAGCTGACACTGGACTGTCGGAGGAAACCCACGCAGGCACGAGGAGAACATGTAAACAGAACCTTCTTACTGTGAGGTGTCAGTGCTGACCTGCACCGCCATGCCACCCTGATCTAAATGAACTCATATAAAATCTTTAAATACTTATTAGTTTTGCGGCTCATTAACGTTGAGCTTGTTTAATTGCGATTGGCTCAATTTTCTAACTTGAGGCAACATCAGGCCCCAATGAGGACATGAATCACTAGAGTGATGGGGATATACTATGCCCACATGACTTAGTATTTACATGAATTTTAACTTAAAAAAGTGATATCTAAAATTGGAAGTATCCAAATCTTTGCTTCGTGCAGTTATTTCCTACTGGTCTCTGTTTCAGATACAGCTCTCTCCATGCAAATGCCTGAATCAAAGCCGTCCACCGCTCCAGTGGTTTTGCATCATTACACAACACAACACAAGCAGAGGCCACGGGCTTTCTCTGCCAGCATGTACAAGTGATCTGTCTGCTTTCCACCAGCCAGCCTGGCTTTTCTGTTTACGCCAAAGCCCTGGAAAGGTTCTCAAGCTAAGTCACAGAGAAACACATGAATCAACGAGAAAAGGCATCACAGCGGTGACAGGAGGGCTGCTCTGAACTCCACGCGAGGCTTCCTCGCTTCTGAATAAATAATCTGTGCTTTCTGACATGCTGAGCTGACTGTCTGCCGCTCACACTGCCGTAACACCGTCAATAAGAAGCCATGGGTTTGTGAAAACAGCTCTCACAGCCATTGAGGTTTTGGCCTGTGTCTGAACTTGTTTTGCTTTGCTTATTGATTCTGCTCCTCTCAGATACAAAGGGTTTTGACCTAATTGTACAGTAATCCTGTTTTCTTTAACTAGATACACATGTTTAAATGCCTCTGTGTGTGTGTGTGTGTGTGTGTGTGTATGTGTGTGTGTGTGTTATCGGATCACATTATCTCAAATCAAACCTTTCTCAAGCTATTATAAAGGTGGCCACTTTGTGAAGAGGCGAGCTTAGGGATCTAAAGACTGTCAGTCACGTGTCATTATATTATCTGATTGTCAAACTGAATATGATACCTTAGTGTAACTGCCACAAAATAATATGATTGGCAGCATCCATTCAATACTAAAGGTATCATAAGTTGTAGTTGAACTTATACCTTTGATCACATTGACTTGCCATACGTGAATCTTTTTTTGTCTGATTTTGAACAGATGTTCATGGATCAGAGGATGTTGGCTGATGAGTGTGGAGGTGGTGAACATGGTCAACATTATATCCTCACAGAAACTCAACCATTGTCATTGTGAGCATGTTGGCGTTAGCATTTTACAACATGAGTTGGAAAAAACAAAAGTTTTGGTAAAAAGAAAAACAAAAAGCATTTCCAGTTTTCATAAACTGACTGGAGTTTAAAGAAAAAGTAAAAAAGCTTTATATATGTTTTTAAACACCATTTAAATTATCCAATTAAAAGTGTAATTAATTGTCATATTTGTGAGTCTTCTGATTCATAATGACCACTGGAGTTTGGTTTTCTCCTGACGAACAGTTGCCAGTATTACAGCAGCACCTGTAAAAGCTGTGGCTGTAGAATGAGTAACTAAAGAATGAATAACAACATTTCTACTTTGTCCAGTACAACTCATAAAAACTGCTCCAACTGTGGTCAAATCTGTCTTCCAATGTGGCTCAAGCTTTCGGGCCAGGAAGAGTAGTCCCAGGGACAGGAAGTGCTTGAAAACAGGGGAAGCCCGTTTAGGGAGGAATAAATCACGGCCCTCATGACAATGTTTTTGTCTTCTCGTGTCTGATTGTCTGTAGGGGGTGACACTGACCTCAGGCTATTCCTGCCTGCTGTTTTTTAGCAACGACAGGGGCTGGAAACGCAATGGCAGCTGCCTTTGGCTTCTTTTCCTTCAGTAGCCGAGTCCAACGTCTCCAGTTCATCGGAGACAAGTCGAGGAGGAGGAACACAGGGGAACATCTGGAAAAAGGGGGAAATTTCAGCTTTTGAGAGTAAATGCAAAAAGCAGCAGGTACACAATGGACATTTTGGCCGGTATGAAATGCGTCAGTGTTAGCAGACTTCTGGGTTCGCTTTGATTTCTCTCCCAAGAAAATTCATTATTTGCGTGTCTGTGCCAGACAGTTGCATGGTTGTCTTCAAAGGGATAAACTATGACTCTCTGTTTCTTTCTTCTTTTAGTCAAAGCTGGACTCGGAACTTTTGCAACCTTGGCCATGCTTTGCTAATCGACCGGCAAGGACCATGCACCTCTTAAACCACTGCATGCACCTTAAATTATTCTTTTTAATCTTTGAAGCATACAAGAAACGCACACACCATTGCATTTTTACTGTTTCCAATATGAGATGAGCCATAAATCACTGCATAAAAAGTTTGAAAACCACGTGGGGACATTTCAGAATGTGTTTTTCAGTCCTCTGAGCGAAAGGTACAAGCCCTTTCTTCCTGTTATCCTGAGGGTCATATTCTTTATGCTCTTTGTCAGATAGGTTTACACTGCTTTGATCATTTCATCTTGAATGCAACTGCTTCAAAAGCGATGAAGAAGTAGCTTTGGGCTTAAATTTTTCATGCCTCCCTTTATATCAAGCACTGACAAGTGTCCCAAATATTTTTCCTGCTTTTAGCTGCAGACTCTGTTTTTCTGCGCCTCTCAGACATGTACTCCTTTTAGCCCTGCGTCATTCCGTCTCTCTTTAGAAAAGACAAGACTAACTAACCACGTTCCTCTGTTTGTGCCTGTTTGACCCTGACGACACAGTCTTCT